GTGCCAGTAAAGTTTGAAAAGCAAACAATACAAAAATATAGAACTATAAACCAGATTTGCTTATGCGCGCCTTTGTTCGCAAAATTTGTTGGCGTTTTCACATAAAAATGTTTCATGGCGAATCAAAAGTGCCTTTAATTGAAATAAGTACTTCCAATAAATATTGTCCACAATACTAATATGCAGATTTGTATTCGATTTTCCTCTAAAAATTTAGCCATCGTTAAAAATATGATTTCTTAGTTGAGTTTTATATGTAGATACATGTATTTTTAAAATGCCACTTGTTCTGGTATTCATATTCAACCTACATACACGTCTTTCAAACAAAAAGATAATGCCCTAAAACCATTATTAATAACATAAATGTAATTACTACTTACATGCTCTTGTCCAAATTATTGTTGAGCATTTATAAGCGGATTTAAAGTTACCAATGTTCAAAATTAATAAACGGCAGAAGAATTGATGTAATACACAAATGTAGCGGGCAAAAACTAAAAACGAAAAAAGGAAATTCGTTAGTAAGAAAGAAAACAACAGGGTTAAACTATAACACATGCTAGAATAAATTAAAAACTTAGGTCAAAATAACGATCATATTAAGTAGTTGGGAATAACACGGTACAACAAAAACAAACAAAAAAAAACAAAAACCCTAGGTTTGAAAAGTGTGGGTGTATTGGAGCTGTAATTAATGCGGCAGTGTTACTTTTTGTGAAAGAGTTTCAAGTTCTACCCAAAAATTCGGGCAACTCTGCCTACATACATACGTCAAGCATTCGAGGAATAAAATTTTGACAATCAGTTGCTCATTATTGGCAAACCAAAAGCAGCATTTCACAGACCAATTTCTACCAAGCTTGGCACAGTTGTAACGGTTCAAATTTTTTATACTCGGACAAAAATCACGCCCACATGCCATATACCGGTAATTTATACACCCCATGAGTACATTAAAGCATCAAGCAACACTTTTTTTCAACATAGTTACTTTAACTTTGTTGTATGGAAAATATTAACCCTTTAGATTTCCAAGAACGTAGTCTCCTCAAGTAGCCGTAAAACAGTATTATAGCAAGTAATTTTTAAGCAAAAAAAAAACCGACTTCAATTCTCATATAAAAATTTAAGATTATCGTTAATCTATTCATGATCTTATTGTGAATCGATAATAAAGCTATTTAACACCAAAATTAATTAATTTATTCCCGAAAATAATATTTTCGTTTTTACAGCTCAAAACATGATAAAAACATAGCAAGGTAGAACCGTTCTCTCAATTTGTCGGCCATGATTTTTTTTTGAAGTTTGCCAACATTTTAAACTCATATAAAAGTGAAAATAAAAAATAGAAATTGTTCGAAATTGTTGTTGCTTGAGATTGAAAACTGAAAATGTGTGTGTGAGTTTGTGAGTAAATTTAAAAATTAAATTGTTTGGAAATGTCAAGAATTTTAAAAGTGACTCTCAGCGGTTCTACCTTACTATATTTTTATCATGGCTCAAAATAATGAATGAAGAAAAAGTAAGGAAATTTTTGAAAAATCATTGAACAGTAAAATGTAAAAGTAAAAGTGAATTATGTTTACGAAAAACGTTCCTTTAAATCAAAGTGTTTCACCACAATCTAATGATCGGATTTAAACCAAATTAGAATGGGACCACCTGTGAGGTAACACCTTTCCTTTATAAACTTTCTCAGTATTAAGTGTTTGGCACTGAAGCTATTTAATAATATTGTTGTTGCCCATTTAAATCCAAATAACGTGTGTTACACTGTTTAAGGGAGAAATAAAAACACCTCTCCTGTAAAATTTGCCTTTTGTTGCTAACGATAAAATCTAATAAAAGGATCAATATTACGCCGTATTGATTTTGAGGAGAATTTCGAATATGGGACTCGTAGGAAAACAAAGATAATATCAATATAATAAAACAGGTAATTTTAAGCAAAAAACAAAACCGACTTCAATTCCCATATAAAAATTTAAGATTATCGTTAATTTCTTCATGATCCAATGACCGGACACACCTGTGAGGTTAACACCTTTCCTTAAAAAAAAAATAACTATTGAAAACGGGGTCCGAAGAATTCATAACCTTCTCGTTTTTGTGGAGTCGGTTAATAATCTCACATTGAAATTTTCGTTTTTAAATAATATTTCAAACATAAACATGCAAAGAGGTACAAGCAAATGAAATAGTTTTTAAACAATTTCCGATTATTATTATTTATATACATGAGTATGTATATATTATTTTTCCGATTATTATTGAGAGTTATTGTTTTTTGAGCAAATATTTAATTGGATCTTTATTATTGGACAAAGAATAGACGCAATTATCTAATAGTTTTCGTAGATTTTTATATTTTTATTGCATATTTCTCATATTACTACTGAGATAATTCACTTTTTATAATATTCATTATTTTAGTTGCATAAATTTTTCAATATAGCACTTAGCAAAACAACAAAAACTAAAATATATGTTTGAGTAATATAAGCAATGAGAAATCCGTAAACTTTTATATTTCAAACAATAAATGGTTTATTAATATTTTTGCCATCAACTTGAGTTTGCAAAAAAAAAAAAATATATATGCATATGTGCATACATACATATACATACGTATGGATATGTATATATTTAGATTGCTTTTCAACCAAAAATCATTATTGTAGGATTTCACATTTGCTTACTATTAGGTTATCTGTTTAAAAACCATTATTCTCCAGTGAATTTTATTGTTGTAAAGTATATAAAATCTAGGTGGGTGCGAAACCACCCCCTGTTATTTTTATGCAGCACATTTACAATACAGCTCTATAACATAGCTTTTTTAATCAAATTTATAGTATATATGACAATTGCAATATGCAAAAAAAATTTCTGTGCAAGCCTATCGGTTAGCCTCTCAAAATTTTGGAATTATATTACAATTTGCTACAACGGATAGAATGTGTTTTCAACAAATACTTCTCATTATTTTATATTCTTTCTTCATTATTTTAGATAAATTTGGAAAATGAGCGAAAACTCACTTGCAAAGGGTACACATACATAATACAGTTATTTCACAATTAGTTTGCGTACAAAATTGATTTTTACTTTATATTTTATTTACCTTAAGTACATACATATGACTATTGTCCTTGTTTTTTTAATTTAAGGTTAAGTGAAAATTCTTAGGTATGTATGTATATAAAACGAAGACATTTATAGTGTAGCAAATAGCTTTTATTTAGCTGTTTGGAGAAAGATTACTGATTGATTAATGTATCTATATGTGTATAAAGTGCTGTTTCTTCACAACATCATAGTTGAATTAGGCAAATTATTCTAAATATTTTTTTTAAGCTACATATACATTATATTACTTGTAGATAACGAAGACGTGAATGCTAACTTTTGAGAGATACACCCCTCATTTGCTTAGTTCTACGAGTGCATCAAAAAGGTAATGAAAAAGTGTATATGTATTTATTTTATAGAGCATAATCCTCTGTCATAGATCTTTTTAAAACTGGATTGTTACTTATGTGTCGCATTGGAAAATATACCGACATGACTACGGCTATACTTATTATATAATTAAAAACCAATGCATGTACAAATGACTGCATACTCAATACAGCTTTAAATATAGTTCCAATTCGTGTTTTACTTACAATATATGGTAAGAGAATACAAACAAACAAAAATTCCTTGAAAGAAAGTTGTTAAAAACGCATGATGTAATTTAGATTTTATAAAAAAGGTGCAAAAGAAAAGTTATATATATTATATGACTTTATGTGGGTCGATTATGGATGGCAATCGAACTTCAGTCGCGTTGCCAGTGGCTGAAATTGTATTACAGATGGAAAGTGAAAGCGGGCAACTGAGTCAGTATATTGGCAACTGCGTGTATTATTCTAGTTGCCGCGGAAATTTTGATTGAGGAAATGTATTTTTTTTTTTTTTTAACTGTTTCTAAGTGTAAACTCAAATCTTGGTTACAAGTACCCCAAAATTCGATATTCTTCACTTAACTATAGTTGCTATTCATAATACAAATTTTTATTTTAGTGGCGTTGCCCAACTGAGGTGGCGTTGATATCCATAAACGACCCACTATTTTAATTAACGCTATTGATAAATTAGTAAAATAAAGTGCACTTTAAAACTGATAATTGGTTTTTTACATTATTTTGATTTTGATTATGCCGTTTCAGTTTTGCTTATTTTTTTAAACTGAATACAATGCTCTTTATCTTCCAATCAAAAACATTTTCCGTAGCTGAGCAAAACTGATAAAACACTGAGATCGTTAAACTTAACCATATTTTCTAAGGAAATAGAATTTCATATAAAAATTATACAATCTGGTTTGGCTTGACCCAAAGTTGCAAATCAGTTGAAAATTAATAACTTTTTCGCCGAATTCGGAGAACGTTTATCAGCTTGAGAATTTCAACAATAAATATCATTAAAATGTGTGTATTACTAATTTTTTAAAAGATGTTCAATTTGATCGGAATATCTCAAAGCAAAGAATTAAAATTTGCTTCCATCGATTTACTTGCGAAATTTAGTTCCATGATGTTCCTAAAATACGAAATTGGATATCGTAAAAAATTGCATATTGAAAATTTTCGATTTGAAAATTTCAAATGCTAAAAAGTGAGTTTAGTTAAGCCGTTCCACAACTGTTGGAACATTCCATTCAAACAACTTCAGTGTCTCATCGTTCCATCCCAGAAATTTGCAACATAAAAATATATGCTAATGGAAAGAAATTATCTGTTTTGACAACCAAGCAAACTAAAATAAAATTCTTGTTCAAATTTAAGCTTAAGAATAATAATGTAGGTAATTAAACAAATATTATTTTATTTTAGAAATTAGAGCTGTAACAACAAACGCATTCAGTTAACAACAATAAATATGTATATCCCGATGGGGTTACTGGTGATATCTAAAAGAAATAAATTGTCTAAGCGTTAGTTCCCAGATTTAGCAAGGCAATTTCATTGCCTCGTTAAATATTGCTTCCACGCAATAAAATTAACTTACAGTTAAATAAACATTAACATAAATGTTAAAAATTCAAAAACTCAGTGTTAATAATTGTTTATCATTTTTTACTTAAAACTATTAAATAAATGTTTATAGAACAAACGAAGAGTAACTTAGAAGAACCAATTCGAATAAGGCAAGAGAGAAGATAGTGAATTTTTGGCTGCCGCTGCAGCTGCTGCAGCTGCTTGTGCCGCACGGGTACTGCTGCTGGGTGTACCCGCAAAATTGCTCCCCCCTGCCCCACCGCCACGTCCCCGCTGCTGTTGTTGTTGCTGTGCCTGCTGATGTACCGCAGCGGCTGCTGCACTGCTCGCCGCAACACTGGTCAGTAGTTGTGCAAATTCCTGTTGCATCTGCAAGCGCTGCTGTAATAGCTCAAAGTGATTGCGTGGCTTGTTGTAGATGAATTTACTGGCCGTCTTTATTAGGGCCTGTGTCTGCGGTGGAGTAGGAAGTGTGTTACGTCCTGACGTTGATCCAACACCCGTCTGCTGACTACCACCGCTGCCACCAAAAGTGCTCAATGATGCGGCGGCGGCTGCATTTGCTAGAGTCGCTGCTGCAACGGCAGCTGCCGCTGCTTGATGTTGTGTCTGAGGTGGTGGTAAATTTAGTAGAGATTGTAAGTCGGTCGCTCGAGCTGCTGCAGTCGCTGTTGGTGGCAGCTGTGTTTTACGATTGAGCTGTTGCTGGATCTGTTGCTGTTGGCGGTTACTGTTATTGCGCTGACTGCTGTTGTTGCTGTTGGTGTTATGTTTGTTGTTATTGTTAGTGTTGTTGTTGCTCGTTTTACGGCTACCACTACCACCGCCATTCAAATGCATCAACGTCAATTCGGTGCTGTTATGGGAGTTGAAACTGATACTGGTGGTGGTTGTGGTGGTGGTGGTGGTGGTGGTGGTGGTGGTTGTGGTGTTCTTGTTCTTGTTCTTGTTGGTGGTGTTGGAACTGAACAGGGAGGGTTGTGTCGGTGTTGTTGTAAGGTTTATTGTTTTGGTGGCGGTGGCATTCATAACAGCAGTTAGTTTCGTTAATAATTACGTTTGTTTTGTTTTATTCGTCTTAAAGCTGACTTGAAGCACACGGTTGCCCAGAGTATACCCATTAAGCGATTGTATGGCGACCACAGCCTCCTCATAGTTAGTCATGGTGACAAAGCCGAAACCTTTGCACTTATTGGTCTGCAGATCGCGTATAACCTACCGTACCGGAAGCAGCGATTAAAATAAATGAACTCTATATAGCAGCCGCATCGACATATTCTAATGGAACTGCAACTCACCTTAACCGACTGTACTGCACCAAATGGACCAAAAAGTTGCCACAACACATTCTCTTCGGTTTCAGGAGCCAAATTATAAACGAAAATGCACCAACCGGAGCCATTAATGGGATTGCCGGGAAGCATTGTGTTAGCTAATAGATCACCAGCCAATGGTGAATAGCGTGAAATCACTGAGCTGTGAACGAAAGATATTGCGAAGCATTATATACGAAAAATAACTTTCAAAAGAAGCTATCTAACATCACTTGCCTATATCGGCTCGCTGCTGAAGGATGTATGGCTGCAGCGGCGGCAGCTGCACCAACAGCCGCGGCGGCAGCAGGAAACCCACGAGCCCGCGCATTCTGCGGTGTTAAGTAAGCGGCCAAAGGCTGTAGCGATTTGTTATTGCTAGGATTATTAGCGAATTTTACAATTATGGGATCGGTGGCATTTTTCGGTATGGTTCCATTTAATTCTTTAATGGCACGATCGGCCTCATGGCGCTGATCAAAGCGTATAAAGCCAACACCCTTTGAGAGTCCTGAGAAGTAAATTCACAAATATTTATTACTTGGGCGAGTACCGTTAAAATAATTTACAACCGTAATCTCATGATTAAAATCGATGGCATTTAGTTTTTTTTAGATTTAAATCCCACTCACGCCAATCATGTGAAATTTTAAAATAGCATATGTAAAAAATATTTAATATATCGCTCATTTACTTATGTAAATAGTGTCATAATCCAAAAATTACAAATATTGAGCTAAATAATCAGAAATTACAGTCACCTCTTCTTCTATGTTGTGTCATTCAATTTCAAAGCTGTATCGATTACCAGCATCTCGCTAGAATAAAACATGTGTTCATTTTTACAATGGGTTTATACCGTTACTTTAATTCACAAAGGCCATAAACAACAAATTTTAATTTTACAGAATCATAAAGAATATCAAAACATGTACAGCTTTTTAAAAAGTGGTATGTATGTAACTCCGTTGTTTTTGGTAGCAACACTTTAATTTTTATTTTAATATGTCCTACCAAAATCTGTGAAAAACGCAGTTTCGAAAAAAGTATTGGTTAGGGCCTTCGAGAATTAAGGTAACGATATGTGAATTCAAAACTATAAAGTCGTTTTTCTCAATTGTTGCTTTTTTGCGATGTGACCCTATTGAAGTAAATGAGCGATATGTGGTCTAATTTTTTGAGTTAGTCACAAACATGTTGCTAGCTTAGAGTGAAAACTTACTAAATATATTTTTACAAATGTNTGGAAAATTGGTAACATCGTTCTCAAGGATTTCAAATCTATTGGTTGATTTTGGGTAGTAGATGTCAAGGACCTCTTTTCTTGTTAGTTTCTTAATCGCTTTGATGCGATTGACTGACTCCTCCTTTTCCCAGTGAGGGCATAGAGACTTGTCTTTCGCGCAATGTCCCTTCCTTCCACAAAGAATACATTCATTACTATCACAGTTTTCCCTGTTGCATTCATTCTTCCCGCATTTAAGGCACCTTATTTTTGACTTGCAGCCAAGCTTGGTGTGTCCCAATCGGCCACAATTGTCACATTGACGAAGGGGTGGTATGTAAAAGTCTACAGGTAGTCGGGTGTAGTTATAGATTATTTCTTTTGGGATATCATTGCCGGCAAAGCCAATCTTTAGCGTTGTCGTGGGAATAATTGAACCAGAAGAGGCATCTTTGCGGGAAAAACGATATACAGACATTATGGGTATAGTGGACTTAGCCTCAGCCAGAATTTCATTTTCATGGAAGCAGGTGGGGACACCCCTCACCACTCCATAAATCTCTAGCGCAGTTCTGGGAATAAAGGCTTTTAATCCTCTTTTTTTAATTTTGTCGTCCAATAAAAACGTGTTTGCCGCATATGCGTTTTTAAAGATAACCTTGTATAAAGTACGGCCAACCGCCTTTATAAAGTCAATGTCTTTGAATCTTAGGTCTTTTATCTGACCAAAAAGTGTCAGTCCTGTGGTGAATTTTTCATTTTTCATGTTAGGGCACTCTGAAGAGTCAACCAACACAAAGACTTCTCCTCCAAAATTTGGCGGGTAAACAGTAGAAAAATTTTCTTTTTGCGCGCGATTATCTCGCCATTCGTCATTGGTTGAAAAAGCCGAGTTGCCTTTCCCGCCCATTTGCACATTTTCACACGACACTTTCCCGCCATTTTCAGCATTTTCACACGCCATGGCTTCAGCAGAATCACTTACAACCTCACCAATTACCTCAGTCATCTTTACCAGTCCTCCATTTTTGGAGAGCTCGTAAAAACCCGTCACTTCTACATTGTCCATAATTTTCAATTTTTTTGTAGCACCAGCATCCGCATCGGTGATTTCAGGAATCACCGACTGCGGAGTCCGCGCCATTTTCTTGGGTTTGCTTAGTGCCGCGAGCGGCAGCTTAAGCTTTTTATTCTTTTTCAGAGGCACTATGAGAAGACTTTTTATACTTTACAAAGGTATACGACTGGGGGAACGCCCCAGCTAGAAAGGAAACCAAGATCACTCACCTGATTTATTAAAACTGCTCCCAATTATTTAGTTAAATTAAACGCGACGTTAAATTATGAGTCGGGGTTTTAATGCGCAGTATGCTAGCACTGCCAAGCACAGAACACTACAAAGAAAAAGCAACCACTCAAAAAGCCTTGTTAATTTGCCAATAGAAAAAGCACACAATTTATTTTCAGAAAAACGTGGGTGATAGCCGATAGATCAAAAGCCGCGACCGAACCACTCTCGCCCGTTGTCAGAATCCGTTTCTCGCATTTTAATAAAAAATTAATGTTTTGCAGGGAAACCAGAATTGAATAAGAATGACAAAATTCTATTGAAGAAAATAATTGACGAGGAATGAAACGAAATAAGTAAAAGGTNCAAGGAAAAAAAGTTGAACGAGCTCAAAGTTGGCTGGCGACCAACTTTGTTGAAAGCGATTAGTTGAAAGGCCGTTCGGACGAGGCGATTTTTGCTTTCAACTAAAAGTGGCCTGAAAAATCGCCTCGTGCGAAAGCCCTATAACGAAACATATTATCGAAAATATTTGAAATGGGAGTAAAAATCACCGGCGCTTACTTACAACAACAACAACCACGTAACGGTAGTTTTCAGAAAGGTAAAAAAAAGTATATTTAATAGGGGTGCCGCGTATATATCGTTCGTCTTAGCCCGAACTTACACTCATTTAGTTCTTAAATATTCAACATTTTGTTCAAGTTAAATTTTTTGTAATTTTTCTATAAAATATTGTCCAAGCTTTAACCAGGGCTCGAATCATAACACCCGTTCACGGATCGAAAACCATACGAAAGAAAATTACGTGATACGTCAGTCGTATAAGCTAAATGGGATGAAGAGTTTTTACGTGACGAGTAATACATTATCGTATGTGACGATTCGTGCCCAGAACTATATAAATCAAAGATTCGTTCCCACTACAGTCAGGTCTATGTAATGGGAACGACCCAGATTTATATCTGGCTAAGGACTGTCACTCCAGCAAAGCTCCCCAAACCCCTTTATACAAAATTTAGAAAAAATCAACAAATATTCATCAAAATTTCAAACTTTTTATTGTGAATCTTTCGACATTTTTGGGTATGCAGCTCTATAGCCCATACAATACAAGATAACAAGTGCAATTTATAAAAACAAGCCTTGATTTTTTGAAATTTTGTGGCGAACTGTCTTGCGCATTTTATTTCATAAGAAATTCATGCTTATATGGGAAAAAAGTGGCAAGATATGTCACCAAAAAAAGAAAAAAAAAGATATTAAATTAATTATGAAATTTGCACCTCATTATATTGCAATTATAAGGCTATAAAACTACATACCCAAAATGTCATAAAGAATAAAAGGTTTGAAATTTTTATGAAAATTTGTTGAATTTTCCTAACTTATACGGTTTTGGTTTAGGCTTGGACAATTTTTCTATAGAAAAAAAAGAAAAAAAATTAAACTTGAGAAATATTGTGAATATTAAAAAAAAATCAACACGTGAACACTTGTTTGAGTCACTGTATGTGTGTGTATATTGGCCTGTATGCTACTTTCTTTTATTTAAATCACTAACCTGTGATATTGTCACACAAAATCCTTGAGGTAATTATTTTGCCATATGGACTGAATAGTATTTCGAGATCTGGTTGCGTCATATTCTTGGGAAGACCAGATACATATAGATTTGCACCCTTTATTGATTCTGAGCTAGGACGGGCTATTGACACCTGCAGTGAGGAAACTATATTTTAAAAAGGTGGATACATAACACATTCATCTGGATAACGTGCCTTTATGGTTTTATTTTGCAAACGCAATCCATTGAGCGAGCTTATTGCTTTCTCGGCATCTTCTTGTTTAACATAATTAACAAATCCGTAACCAAGGCTTTGACCTGGGCGAAAGGACAAAAAAAAATGGCACAATGTTTATAAGTACATACATACATATGTATATAAAAATGTTCGTTCATTTAACTCACCTGTCACCTTATCTCTTATCAATTTGCAGCTTTCGACTTCTCCGAAGCTAACAAACAATGAGCGTATCTCCTCTTGTGACATGGTTTGCGGCAGGTAATTCACAATCAAATTGGTTTTTGGATCACTTTCCATATTATTGTTAATAGCACTAGCATTGTTATTGTTATTATTGCTGGCATTAGTATTAGCCGCTGATGCGGTACCACTACCAGCGCCAGCTCCGGAGCCACCACTACTGCCATTTTGCTGCTGTTGTCCCTCGACCATGTTGTTGCTGTTAGCGCTGGTAGTCATCATTTAGAAACGAAAATATTGTTATTTTGAATATGTGGTTTTCGTTGCAAACAGAATACAAACAAAAACAGCACGGAATATGAGAAAATTTAACAAATTATCTTGGATACAATTTCCGTAAGTAAATGTTTAGCAAAGACGTTTAAGTGATTTATATGTGATATAAAAATTTTAGTTTTTAACAATGATTGTCTTCAAAAAAGTAAATATTTGGGTTTTGCTTGCTTTCACCGAATAGACAATAATACTGTTTATTTGTTGCTTAATGTACTTCACTATTTATGAGTTGATATCGTTTCTATTTTTAGACGCAAAAGTGCAGCGCTGAAAATAAATCGAAATTAATGTGATATAAATAAAATAGTTTGATGGCATAACTGAAAACAGATCAACTTTGTAGATGTTATATTCAAGTTGATTTTCTCAAAATTCTAATTTCAATCACTCTGTACTCTGTTTCCAGTTATGCTAAATCGGTAAACTTTTTATTATTTGCCTACCTTAGACGAGGCAAGTAAGTTGACACTGCTCGTTCTAACACATAATTTTTATAAATCTGCGAAGGTGGGTTTAGCAAGACTTTAAATTTACAAAAAGTTTTTCTATTTCACTTTTGCTATGTAAAAAACTGTTCGGTTACTACTTAAATATACGTATCCCTCATTTGTTATTAGTATGTTTGTAATATCATTTGAAAATACATTACAGTTTTACATTTGGGAATATTTAATGTCTTACACTTTGTAATTAATTTGTGTATTTTTCTGAAAGTAGAAAATAGAGACGAAAATAAGTCAGTGCGAACTTTTATAAAAATTTAATATTGAAACAAATATGATTTAAAGAAGAATGAATGTAAATTCCAATAGTGAAATAACTACAGTGGCTACACTTTATTAATGAATGAAAACTGGCAGCGATCTTTATAGGCTAAAATATAATTACGCCTAAATATTATCGCATTATTTTGTTTTGTATTGAGTATTTCTTACTAAGTTTCAGTTATAATTCCAAGGTAACCCATTAAAAAATATTTTTCCGGAGAGTACTCCTATCCAAAAATTAAACATCAGCTGGATTGATAAAAGTTAACTCGACTTCTATGGCTATTGGCCACTTCGTTAAGAAAACCGCATCAAAATACAGTTACAATCACTGAAATAGTAGTGCGCAGTTGTGAGATGCATTATGCCCTTGATGTCGCATACTACGCGATATTGGAATCGAGTTTTTTTTTAATTATCATCTTTAGTGTATGATTTGACTCTATGCAAATTTCAAACCGTTCAACAGCTCCGGTTTAATTTTTTTAGAAGTATGCCCTGTTGTGAACGGCATTTAAGGCGAGCAGTGAAATAGTAGCGCATAACAGAAAAAATCGCAAAATTTAACTTCAATTCCAAATATTTTAGTTTTTGGAATGACAAGTATGTTTAATGACTTGGTTTGTTATACATTTAGCCGGAATAGACGAAGTCTGCACCGAGGTTACGAAAAACATGAAATTACTAAAACCTTATTAAAAAATGGGGAAAATATATAAAGCAATGGAAAAAATTGGTGGATGTTCAGCCTCCATAATTCGAAATACGTTAACGTACCAAAATAAACCTGAAAAACGGGGTGGTAAGCAGGAATTATCAATATTAAATATTCGAAGACTCGTCCCACAATGTCAGCTTTAGAAAGTTTGGATAGCCTAAAGTTACCATGTAGTGTTCACACAGTAAAAAGACAGCTCCAAGAACACAAACTTTGTGCTAGAAGTCCACGTAAAGTACCGCTTTTGAAAAAAAATAATTTGATACGCAAACTAGATTTTGCCAAACAACACCTGCGATGGCCTATTCGGAAGCGGAGGAACATTCTGTGGACGGCTGAGTCAAACATTTTTATATACGGTGGTAAAGGCTCGGCAGTTCGTAAGGCGCCCCCCAAATATGGAATATCATTCAATGTACACTGCAAAGACGTTGAAGCATGGAGGCCAGTATTATGGTATGGGGATGTTTTTTTCATATCATGGTGTGGGGCCCAATATTTTGGATAAAAACTATCAAGGACCAGAATAAGTACGTAAAAACAATGAAGGATGTTATGCTTCCATTCGCTAAAGAGAAAATGCCACTCAAATGGGTACTAGAGCAGGATAACGACCCGAAGCATACAAGTAAGCTAGCAAAATTGTGGTCTCGGAACAACGGAATTCAAGTCCTAGAGTGGCCAGCTCAATCTCCTGACTTCAATACTATAGAAAACCTTTAGACCAACCTTAAGAAACCCGTATGGGATCTAAAACCAAAAAATAACCACGAACTATGGGCCGCGCATGGTTGTCAATACCTCAGGAAAGATGTCAACGCCTCGTAGACTCCAAGAGAAATCGTTATGCAGCAGTGATTAAAAACAACGGTCATGCTACCAAATACTAAGTAATTGTGCTAAATTTTAGTATTAATATTAACATTTTAATACAAATTTAAAACCTTTTGTTATGTACTACTATTTTTCTGCTCGCACTAGTTTCCATGAAAACACATCTTACATGAACTAATTTTTTTAGTGTTTATGTAAATAAAACTCTTTTGACCCAAAATTTAGTTATGAAATCGTCCTTCAGTTTTTCAATGTAATGAATGCAATTATTATTTTGGTTTTCTAGTAATTTAAAAATATGTTAACCGTAGGTGCACACTAGAGGTGTCAAACTATCGATAGTCACACCATCGATGGTTTTGATAAGTTTTCAGACAAACTATCAATATTCACGATGGTCTCGAAAAAAAAACAAAACTATCGATAGCACTATCGATAGCGCTATCGATAGCGCTAAATCAGTTAGGTTGCTTTGTTTTTAGTGAAATAAATATTATCTTATAAAAGTTATAATCATGCAAAATTAAGTAAATGCTTAGCCAAAATACTTCTCTTCTCTTAGAAAGTTCAAAAACAAACACAAGTTATACAAACAAAACAGGCTTTATGATTAACATATGTATGTATTTTGGCCTAAATGCGTGATATTTGAATATGACGTCGGCATCAAATTAAAAGATTCAAATAATTTCAAAATAATTGGTAGAGATGATCGATAGTCCTACTAAACTATCGATATTTTTGATAGTATAAGAAAAAACTATCAATGAGTATTGATAGTCTAAAAAAAATTGAAACTATCGATAGTGCCATCGATAGTTTGACAACTCTAGTGCACACTACTATTTTAGTGCTCGCAGCTGTACACACATACATAGGTACATATGCATTAGGGATGTTGCGAATGTTGAATTTTAGACATCCGCGGATGTCTTACAGCTATCATCCGCATGCGGATGCGAATGAGGATGTCAAGTATTTTTAAGAAACAAATAGACAAGTAAATTAAGTTATTTAGGTAACTAAATAAAAAAACGGAAAAGTTAGTAATTTTGAATACTATTTATTTTATTTACATAGCACTTGAATTTTATAATTGGAACATTATATTTAATAAAAAGCAATGATAATTGCATCGGGGTTGAAAATGTCCGATGTATTCTTCTGACTTTCATCTTCACTTAAATAATCTAGCATAATGGCGAGATCGTGTTAAAACAGCGCTTACAAGCAAACCAGATGTCAGGTTTTTCTAAAGCTTTTTAAAAAGAATTCATTCATTCATTCTCATTCCTTTGGCTGTTTCAGAATTTGGGGACCCTGTAACGTCATCAACGTTTTTCGATTTAAGTTTTTGTAATTCATTTTTAATACTTTCTTCTGCGACTGGTTTGAAAAATTTGTGCTTATAGCGAGCTAAATAGGTGGATATGGAAATTAATTATTTTTTTCCAGGAATGAAAACTTTGAAAAAAATCATGTTTTCAAAGTCGTGGCTGCCAACCGAATCGGATCAGAATATTGTTATTTAAAAAAAAAAATCACCCTATTTTTTTATAACATTGGAATTATTGGAATCACGGATGATGAGGGTCTCAGATAGTTACGTAATTCTTACCTAATTAAAGGTCAGACATAAAGCTTTCTAATTATTTCAGCATCGATTCTCTTTATAGCCAGACTTTGACCATTTAGAAATTAGTAAAATATACAATGGCAGTTAAAAAAGTAGTTTTAACTGATATTTATTGAGCTAAAAGTTACATCATGTGATACTAATTTTTCTTAACATAATTGTAATCTAATACTACTACGATTTACGATTTTTTCAATCCTAGTTCAAAATATTTTGAAACTGGGATTAAAGTAATCGTAATCCTAGACGCATTTAACTCCACATGTAATTTTATCGCCCTGCTCAGATTTAGATAAGGGGTTTTCATTAGTAAATGCACATACAAATCTACAAATCCCGCGGAGCAACACATTTGCCTTTAGCAAGAGTTTTTTTTTTGTATTTCACTGGCATCCGGTATCATTTGCGAGTATTTGTTCCGCTGGGTATACTTACTGTCATATGATTGTGACACATAAGCTCTGATCCAGTACTCCATGAACTTACAGGATTTTACACGAACTTGCAGGAAGTTGCAGGAAAAATGTTCCCGTACTCCAAAATCCTCCAAAATCCTGTAAATGAGAGCGTCTTGTTGTGTAGAGAATGAAAAGTGTCAAGCAATCACTGGTTGACGTTTTTACAGGAAAAATGGTTTTTTTTGTTCCCGTACTTTTTGTTGTTACTCACTTTTTACTCTCAATTCAGAGAGTAATTTTGCTGTTTGACAGTTTTACAGGATTTTTCGCGAAAAGTATTGGATCCGAGCTATAATATGAACGGGAAATATCAAAAAAAAAAAAAATAACAAATTTCGTAGAAAAAGCTGTAGAAGTTTTAAGAAACAGCAGGTGCACGCGCTAAACTTTGTAGACACGTATGTATGCATGGCTCGTTATCTATCAAAAATTAGCAAACTTCAATAAAACAGTCCCCAAAAAGATATTCTCAAAAATCAACGCGATTTTTTATCATTAAATCCTGCACTAAAGATTCAGATTAAAAAGTTTAAATTTTTATGAAGATTTGTGGAATTTAAGTTTTGTATAAAGTTTGAAACGGTGATTTATGTATATGTTTTTGGCTAGAGCTTGGACGGTATTTTTATATTATTATTATATTATATTATTAAAAAAAATCAACACCTGGTCATTTGTTTCAGTCACTGTATGTATCGCACTTTTCAGTACGATAATTCAAAGACGAGAAAACAAATTCCAAAGTTGAAAACAATTTCTTCTAAGTAATTTATATGGAAATAGAAATCGGTGATGCGCAACATTTTAAACCTGATATTAAGGGTTGCGCTGTTAACAGGTATATCTTGACATACCTCTGGAGGTATTGAAGAGAGAGGTTTAAAAAATATAGTATGTTTTTTTAATCAGTCTAATACGCATATATTGAAAATGAGTTTTTGGCCGAGTTGCGCGGTGGCTAAAGGGTGATGGCTGATTAAGATTAGTTCAATTAGTACGCGAAATTTGTTTTTTTATCCAACTAAAACGCAATGAATACTTTTTGTTCAGACCAAAACGCAATAATAATTTGATAAATCTTCCTCACATAACAATTAACCAAAAAAACGGTGTTTTGGTGAATTTATTACGTTTTGCTTTGGACTTCCTCATATGTTAAAATATAGACTGATGGATATTAATACACTATGGTGGTCCAAAAATACATGCGGGGGGATAATAAGTTTAAAATGTTAAGCTCTCGACCCCCTAGGATTTTTCAAAATGGAAAAGATACCCGCATTTTTTCATTATATTAACAAACATATTTTTAGAACTGCCTCAAAGCCCACGAAGTTTTGCGTGTATTTTATATAGGGAAAAAGCTTTTTCGTAGAAATGTTATAGAATTCTTGAAAATCAAGATTTTTTGCGATGTTGTTGGAGTGACAGTCCTTGGCCAGAATAAATCTGGGCCATTCCGGTTACATATATTTCGATCGGAAGACTATGTTTCAAGAATTCTACACCTTACCTACGAAAATGGCTTTTCGAAATATGTGTTTTTTTTTTTAACAAGAAAATACGGTACTCTTTTTTCCATTTAGAAAAATCCTGAGGGGTGAGAGCTTAGCATTTTAAAATGTTTTGGACCACCCTACTATACATGCATATTTTTAGCCGATCTCCCGTCGTTTTCAAAGGTATAGAGGGGAAGTTGTTGCAGTAGCGAAGAATTTCGCGGTACAATTTTTGACTCTGGCAAGTCATGCTATGTCATACACTGCACCATATTGTATAAGATTTTATTCTACTATAAATGCCATTTCAAGTTAGTTGTACGCATATACATATGTACGTATTTATTTTTTTTTGCGGAATCTACTTTTTCCCTTGCCGTTATAGCAGAATTGTTATTATATGTTGCACCTTGTACACTTCCAAGATATTAAACAAATCAAAATTATAAAAATGATAATGGAATATATGTATTTTTATTTATTTTTTTCTATGCAATTTTCTCATAATCCAATTTAAGCAGCACCTCGTATATGTATATGTATGCGAATGCGAGCACATATCTTTAAATAAGTATGTAGGTGGTAAACCGACAAGTAGAATATATGTGGATAACAGAAAATATTTTTGCAATTTTCCACTTTCAAAAGATGAATCGGCACATATTTTCTCTCGATTACGAAACACATTAGAGGTGGGCAAAAAATATCTTGGCTTTTTGGACTAAGTTTATTCCAAATGAAATTTATGTATTTAATTAAATTAATTTTAAAATTTTACTTAATCCTTAAATATCAAATAGGAGTTGTATTTATATGGAGTGATGAAAATTACTTTTTTAGTTTAGTAAATGTGTAATTAATCCCCGATTACGGTATTTTAGTTTATTTGCGTAGAAAAGCGAAGACCAAAACTAAGCCGGAACTGAACAAAAAATAATTTTACAAACTTTTTTGGAAAGTCTTATTTATTTTATTTATTATTAAAAACCGAACCGAAAGACGAAACGAAAATGCAGAACGCAAACCCAAATGAAATTAAGGGAAAATCAACTGAAAGTAGAAAAGAACGCGTTCCTTCTTTCAACTCAACTGAACGGAAATAAACTAAAAGCCCCAAGTGAAATATTTTAAACACAATTTTATGCAGACATGGGGGATATTGCAGAGAAATTCAGCGCAATTATGGTAGTACAAGTATTGAGAGACAGTTCAGAGACATTCATATACAAATATTGGCTGAGAGTCATTGAACTAATGAAAATTTCATATACATATGTATGTATGTACGCAAATACATTGTAGATATTGTTGTGCGCAATACTGCGCAGGCTCAAAGGAAATTTGAAAAAATCCAAATTGTGAGAGGTAACGAGAATAAGTATTTACACAAAGAGAGTCTTCCCATAGAGAATTATATTATTAGCGGGGTGGTAAAAATAAAATGAACCAGAACAAAAGGAGTATTTAGATACATATGTATGTATACGAATGCCGGCACATTCACATCCACTTACATACATATATTTTTCTAATAAACATTAAAGTTGTTAGAGCTTTCTTAGGAATTCTTCAGAATATCAATGATTATAAACGCAGAAGGCATGACAACTTTCGACGCGACATTTTATCTTTATCAATGTAAAAGTAATAACATCCACAAGCCCTATAAAATTAACGTGCTTACGTATGTGGTTTTATATTTATTTCATAAAAAAAAGTCCTTTTACTTTCGGAAAAGAGCTAGAAGTCAAAAAAAAGCAACTGCATAAAATTGTTTCCAAATTTTAAATCATTTATGCTTTCTGTTTCAAAACATTGTAAATTGGCTACATAAATATGTACTGGGTCGCGTGGGCCGAAAATGCACTTTTTTAAAATTTTGATTGGTAATAGCAAAAATATGGTTTATTATGCTCTAAAAAATATTTTTGTGTGAAATATGAAAATTTTTGGTCAATATCTTAGGCTCGCCCAAGTCTCTCAAAGTTCAAGTGCTAAAAAAAAGTTACCAAATTATGTAGGACTAATACTTGCGAAGATAATTGCAATTTTAGTAAAAAAAAATGTATAAAATAATGTATTCATTAATTTTTATTTTTTGGGCACATTGAACTTTGTTGGACTTGGGCGAGCCTAAGATAATGATCAAAAATTGTCATCTTTTATACAGATTGTGTTTGGATCATAATGATCCATATTTTTGCTATAATCAATCAAAATTCTTCTTCACCCCACGCAAATACATAGAGGGTCTTCACCAATTTCGAACCTTTGACGGTTCGTTGGGTGGCAGTTCGGCAAAGGTGTTTTTGTTTTTTGCTGTGAACGATATTTTTAACTTATTTCGTTTACTTTTGGTACTGATCTTTCGCAACAGCTGATTTATTCCCATTTTATTATACACAAGTACAGTTAATATTTGAAATATAAACTTTGTAATGTAGTTTGCGTTTACATTTTCATCTGAATTGTAATTTTAAGCCAGCCTTTTGCTATTTATTTTGCCTACTACCGCCCAAATTGTCAAGCTTGCCACCGTGGCGCCGTGGCTATAAGAGTTTGAAGCTTATATAATAAAAAGGAACAAGTAAAGAAGTATAAGTTCGGACGAAACCGAATTTTATATCTCAAATATCGTCATTTCAATTCTCTCCAAACTACCTAAGACTATAACAGTCTTATTTATTGTTAAGAGATTATTGCAAGTATTAACTTGGTTACTCTGAAATTTATATATTTATTTATAATAATCAAATATCCGGCTAAGTGTTTATTGCAATAATCGATTTTAAGTGAATAGCTTCAGTAGTTACTGATTTATCGCAGTTTTCGTGTTTCTGTAAATTACCGTTATATGGGAGATAGGCGTGGTTATTGCCGAATTTCTTAGCTGGGCCCTAAGCAAAACTCGCACCGCGTTTAGTAAGGAAGTGTGAAGCGGCTACTGAGATACAGCGTTTCATCATAAGTGGGCGGGGTCACGCCCATTTCTCAAAAATTTCATAATATTATTTTCTACCCTAATTCTACTTCACATACTAATTTTCAACAATTCGGATCCAATATTTACTGAAGTATCGTAGTTTTTGAATTTTTCGAAAATACCGTTATATGTACGGTGACCATTTGTACCGATTTTGGCGGGACAGTACCGATTTTGAGAAAAATTTGCTGCTGAATATTTAAAAAAAAAAAAACCGGAATTGTCCCGATTTTTCAAAATTGTGCCGATTTAATCCCAAATTTCCATGTTTTCTTTATTAATTTAATAAGATTCTCACACTACCCTGGCCCAAAAACCATCTTTCGTACAAACGTGGCAGCACTTTTCGTTATCACAAAGAACATAGAATATAAGGGAGCCATATGCATAGCCAGCATCCTTATTTCCTATGATCTTGCAGTCTAACACTCTTGTCTGATTTTTTTAAGGTTTTTATAATTATTTGCTTAGCTTTGTTGTTTTTTTTAATGAAACGATTATAAATTGAATTTAGTGAAATTATAAAACATAATACTAAATCCCTCAGAGATTTTAGCACTCTTTGGCTATTCCCCTTTCGGTTATTGAAGTAATGTTTATTATTTTTATGAAAGTGTTGCTCGTTATCTAACAATGACCATGTAAATCGAAATTTCAAACTTTGTACAAAAATTAGCAAAATTCGACAAAATTTCATCAAAATTTTTAGTATTTGATTAGATTTCTTAGAAACATTCTAAGTATGCAGCTTTGTAGCCCATTCAATGTGCAAATTTAAAGTAGCTATGTAGGACTTATCGTGGATTTTTGGTACATTTTTTTCTTGAAGGTGTTACTCATTTTCTGCATACAAAAAGGTTTTCGAAGAAAATGCGCGAAGAAAAAATTGCCAAAAATCAAAGGTAAGTCCAAGCTACCTCAAACTTGCACCCTATTATACTAAAATTTAATGGGCTACAAAAGTGCGTAGTCAAAACAATTCTAAAAAATCTGATTAAAAGGTTTAAAGTTTTGATCAACATTTGCTAAAATTCATAGNTTTGGTACATTTTTTTCTTGAAGGTGTTACTCATTTTCTGCATACAAAAAAGTTTTCGAACACTTTGTATGGAAGAAAATGCGCGAAGAAAAAATTGCCAAAAATCAAAGGTAAGTCCAAGCTACCTCAAACTTTTACCCTATTATACTAAAATTTAATGGGCTACAAAACTGCGTAGTCAAAACAATTCTAAAAAATCTGATTAAAAGGTTTAAAGTTTTGATCAACATTTGCTAAAATTCATAAAATTTTTATAAATATTCCACAAAATTTGAAATTTTGGCTTACATGACTTTTGTTAAATAATAATAAGAATAGATTGTTAGTGTTTGGCCGTGCTTCTCCTCCGATTTGTGGCGTGCGCTTTGATGTTGTCACACAAAGGGGAGGGACCTACAGTTTTACGCCGACTCCGAACGGCGATTGCATTTTTATTAGAAGCTGTTTTTCATGGCAGAAATGCACTCGGAGGTTTGCCATTGCCTGCCGAGGGGAGACCGCTGTTAAAAAATCACAAAAATCAATATATTCGCGAAACAATGGGCCAAATATAATAAAATTGCGGTATTAGTTTTTCACTCCGATGTCAGTAATTCAAAAATGATTTAAAAATTCAGTGAAATGTGCTTAGAGAAGAAGTATGGGTATCAAATTAAAGAAGAAATGCTGTAGAATTTAAGCAGATTCAATGTTTTGGTGCATAAGCACTGCTAAGTATTGAAAATGTTCTTTTAAAATTTTATCCTGGAAATTTCGCAATTTTTTTTTTGAAAAAATTATATGTAAAGGAGTTATTTAAACTCGATAACCAGCACGAATTTCGCCCTTCTAATTTTATCAGTCATAAAAATTACCTTATGCATCCAAAAACATAATTTTTTTTTAATTCAAAAGAAGGTTCCTCTTGCATTTGGTAGCCATGTTTTTATTCTAAACTAGCCAATGCCCGCTTACTTCGCGGCGCCTAATAAGAGCTTTTGCGTAGACCAATGCAAAAGAGCGTTTAAAAACAAAATTAGACTGTAAAGTCAAAATTTTTGATTTAAGTTGAAACCACTAAGGCGCAGTATCCTCCTCACACATGGGCCAATAATAGTAATGCTGTGATACCTTATGGAATACCAATCCCGTTCGGTGTCATGAGCTTTACCGATGGTCTTATTTCCACCTGTAAGATCTCTGCCAGGCATGCGTAATCTTTTTGTATGACCTTACGTATGCCAATAAAAGTTCTTACAGGGAAACTCAAGAGCCCAGAAGTGCGTTTTCCGTTATAGGAGGGCCAAGAATCCTCGCTGTCCCACAGGATGAAAAGTTTTCCGGTACATTGCTAAATGAGTCGTGTGATCTCTTAAGTATCTTTCAAATGAAGCAATTGAAATGCCTACGGTGATCTTTCCTTGTTAATTCACGACTTTTACAATTCGTGACAAAATTTATGAACTGATTTCTGGGTAGATGCAAGACCGCATGATCGTGCATGAGGGCGTCAGAAAA